GCTGGTGTCGATGTCGTCAAGAACAAGAAAATCAAGACGGGAACGACAAAGGTAGAAGGGGTCTCGGACATGTACGAACGCAATGTTGTACAACCGCTTTCAGTGTCCACCAGTGCCGTCACGTTGGCCACGGAAAATGTTTGTATGATCTTGAAGGTGGATGATATGATTGTGGTGCAGTAAAAAATAAGATTGCATGCATGCATGGTTGGAGGAAAAAGAAAGGTGGTGGAAAGGAGAAAGCAAAGCAGCATGAAGACGAGTTGCTAGGAATAGATAATATTATATAGCAACACAAGAGGAGTATCGAGAGCTTTTAAAGGAACCACATGTGTGTGAGCTAGCTAGTCTAGTCCAACACCAGCAAATTAGCTCACAGAGGTCAGCGGAAAAGACACGGCGAGATGGGAAAAACAAAAAGACGACCACTCACATAGCCACATGTAATTGATCTGTTGGAGGCGGGTACTAGTAGTGGCGCAACCCACACACACCGTCGTGGTATGAAGCAAGACTTGAATTTTGAAATGTACGATAGAGTGGGGGCCAACAATCATTACATGTACTAGCTAGTAGTATCTTCAAGAGGGCATCAATGCAAGCATTATTGCGATAGCATAATATTCATATCTCTTCTACAGCATGAGTTAACTGATTCACAATGGGTAGAAGTATGAATTTTGCCATCAAAAATGAATTTCAGTCGAATTTTGAACTGAGAGTGACGAGTCATGCTTCGGATTCGAAATAACGAAAATCGAAAAATGAAAAACAGCGGCAGCAACAACAACAAACAAACTCAACAACTAGAAAGCATTTGACCACCCTGCCATGGAGTGCTACCGGTATGACTGGTGCTGCCATGGTAAAACTCTCTCTGGTTGTGATTTCTATGGCTCCTCACCTCCAAAGTCTTGCAAGTAGCCAAGCGGTCGCCATTGATGTACCTTTGGTATTGACAAAAAAGCCCTCAAACCTCACACTTCCTTCCGGATCACGTCAACAAGTCAAAGCCAACACGATACGTAAAGTGTATACTAGCTAGTCTAGTAGGCAATCTTAAGCTTTTCGACCCCGTTGAATAACACAGTACAAGTATCGTACTTCGTGGAATGGCTCGTCCCTTCCGTGTCCAAACAGCTGCAGCAGCAACGGCAGCTACCATTGGCTGGTTATGGTTCTCCAGCAGGAGGGCTTCTGTCGTGAATGGCATGATTGCACATACTGGTACTACTACTGTGCAGAGAGATGATGTGGCATTGCCAACCCCATATACACAAGCCGCTCATCCATCGTCGGTGTTGTTTGATAGCATTGACATCCACGGCGTGCCACTTCAATTTGCCGTTCGTAAATTCAAACACATTCGAATGCTGCACGATCACTTACAACGGGAAATACACGGCTACGCCATTTTGAAAGATGCGATCCGAATGGCACAACAACAACAACAGCAACGCCCGCCACTGGTCCTCGATGTAGGAGCGAATCACGGACTGTATTCACTGTTTGCGGCGAAACTGGGGGCCGACGTCATTGCCGTGGAACCCCAACAGAATCTTTGCAAACTGATAAACCGAGCGGCGCAAGAGAATAACGTAGCCGACCGGATCACGGTGTATCACAATGCGGCTCTAGATGAACACGACGAGACGATTAGCATGAAGCATGCCAAGAAAATGGACGGACAGCTGGGCACTGTCGTACGAGAGGGAGAACGAACCAATACAACACTACGAGTAGAACAACTGCACGCCTTTCGTATCCAAGATTTTGTGGCGGCATCATCAGATGGTAGTAATGGCAAACCACAACACGATATCGCGTTCCTCAAGATTGATGTGGAAGGATTTGAACTACAGGCTGCCAAAGGTGCCGCACAACTGTTCACGGCCAAGAGGATTCAAAACACGCTCGTCGAGTTTGGAGTAAGTACTACTGTAGTACGGTACGAACAGTACACGGATGTACGTTTAATGCAGTTACTTCCTGTAGTTGATTGCTTGCGTTTTGAGTTCATACTTGTGCTGACTTGCCGTTTTCGTGTCGCCTCCTAACATCGTTTGTTCTGCATCGTTCTACTTTCCCCAAAATAACATCATGATAATGCATACATTCAGCCACCAAGTCGCTGGCAGATCGATGCTGGAGTTGGACCGGAACTGGGGTTGCACTTGTTACAAGACATGTACGAGCAGTATGACACGCAGCCGCGACTTATCGAATCATTTGTATGGCCAGACTTTTTGGCAAGCATTAGCGACGATGATGCACGGTCACGGGCGGAACAGCAAAAGATGGTGCCATTGACATCGCATCAGGACTGGAAGGCACTGATCCAAGCGATGGATCATAGTGGAAAAGAAGCTTATTTATGGTTTGCTTTGGACGACAACAAGAAACATTCACCTAACGAATTCCAGACATTCCAATCAAATTGCGGCACGGATCACAATGTCAAGCGCATCATGATTGGGGAGGGAAGGAAAGTCACACGGTTTGGATGTGCTGCAGCACGTGGATGAATGGGCTCCCATGACGGATGAATGTTTGCCTATCATCCAATCCAAGCTTTCACAAGACTTGAGATGGGCAGTCAATGTTGCTGTACAACCACTATCGGTGTCCACCAGTGCCGTTACGTTGGCCTATGATCTTGAAGGTGCATGACATGATACTAGTAAGATTCATGCATGGGATTGGAGGAAGAAGAAGGTGGTCGAAAAGAGAAAGCAAAGCAGCAAGAAGACGAGTTGTCTAGCTAGAAATAGATAATACTTTTAGCAACAACGAAAGAGGAGTACATAGAGCTTTTAACGAGACCCAGCGGAAGAACGGTGAGATGGGAAAAACTAGAAGACGACTGAGGATTCGACTCCGCCGAAGTGTGGAAACGGCTAATTGGTTTGGCACCAGGTACCGTACGGGGAGAAGCAGGAAAACGCATTACAAGCATTACACACCTGATAGACTGGTTGGTTGTTGACTGTCAATGTATGGCTAATAGTGAGCTGCAACTAGAGGAGTAACTACAAACTATTTAATAATCAAAGTCAAACTCATTGTTGACTCTATCATAGTACTCCACCTGCCACATTGGCTGCTCCATGATGTGGAGCTGCACAATGTTGGCCACAGCACGAAACATCATGCCGTGCTTGTCAAGGGAATGGCGCCACCCCTGAAGGAGGCAGCCCCATTCCTTCAGCCTTCTATTTACACATTCGTGCCTGGCCCTTGCAAGAGAATAAGAGATACTAGTATCAAGTAACAATGATGTAGTGGTGTTGTAGCTGTGTAATGCGTTTTCCTGCTCTCCCGGTAGTGGCACATACCGATACCGGCAGCACAGAGCATATCCAATTCCACCGTCTCCTTAGTACAGCTTTTGGTTTGATTGTGTTCGGGTCTCCGTCCGGAGCCCAGCCTTTTAGCCCCTCCTGTTAGGGACCCAGCCTGCCTACTGGTAGCTGGGTGATTCACCACCAGCTAAAGATCATTGTCGATTTCATTTCAAGTTAGTGCGCTAGAGGGATATTATTGAGATCTTAGCCTAGCTTGTAACCTGAGTCTTTGCCAATTGAGCTTCTTTTGCTAACCCTCGTAGTGCCTCTGAGCTTTCCGCTCCAGTGGCGTCCACGAGCTCAGCCAACACACCACCGCGGATATCTAGCAGTTCTGCTGGAGCACCAAACTCAACTGCCTGGCCTGCATCCATCACCAGACAAAGATCATAATCCATTATTGTTTCCAGGCGGTGCGCAATTGTGATCTTGCGATGCAGTAGAAAGGGACGTGAGGGACAAGTGCCATGTTGAGATTTGATGTACGGCAGGCAGAATTCAGTCAGTCAGTCAGTCATTCACTTACCAGAGTTGTGTTCGGGAAGCGAGTTCGAAGCATCTTCTGGATAAAAGCGTCGGTCTCTCCATCGATACTAGCCGTGGCTTCGTCGAGAGCAAGTAGTTTTGGTTGAGACAAGAGTGCCCTAGCCAAGTTCAGCAGCTGTCGTTCACCAACGGAGTAATTGGACCCTCCCTCCTCCAACTGCGAAGACAATAGTTGCTTCCCATCCTCAGCGTTGCTCGCGCCCAGCCGGACTGACTGCAGGGCTTCCAATATCTCAGCGTCCGTGTGCAGCTGGAATGGGTCCAAGCTCTCCCTTAGTGTAGCTCCAGCCAAGAAGGGGTCCTGGGGGATGATAGACATTCCTCGTCCTCGTACGTCTGATAAACCCAACTGGCAAAGGTCCACTCCATCCAGCAACACTTGCCCGGACTCAATCTCTACCAGACGAAAGAGAGCAACGGTGATTGAACTTTTCCCGGCCCCAGTTCGCCCAACTACTCCGCAAGATTTGCCTGCTGGAAGCTTGAAGGAGAGGTTCTTCAAAACCAAAGGCAATCCTTCTCGATATCTGAGGTTGACATTGTTGAATTCGAGCAAACCCTGCGTTGGCCAAGAAGACGGCGGTTGATGTTCAGCATCGGTTTCCATGGGTTTTTCACTGGGCAGGGATGCCATGGCGTCGACCCGCTCAATAGCTGTAATTGCCGCTTCTGCCTCTGCGAATGTATCCACCAAGAAGTTCAGGTAATGGTGAAGTTTGAACACCACATGATAAGCAGCCCCACCAGTCCAGCCTCTAGCTTCAATACATCGTTCAAGCATACAACCAAGACCGATGAAACCAAAACAACCAGACTCCCCAGCATCTCCATCCTCACGCCCACCCATCTTTGTGCTGAAACAAAGTTTAGCAGAGCCGAACTGTTCTTATCCGCAACTCCTCTGTATCGAGTGACAAACTGCTCTTCCTGTTGGAATACTCGAATGCTGGTTGCTCCATCCAAGCATTCACTGACCATTGACTGGAGTGGGGATCGACTTACGGCTTCGATTCTTTGAAGGTCTGGGCCCGATTTTCGGTAGTATAGCATGAGTACCCAGTACATGACAGAAACGGGGACTATGGCTAGCGCCGTCCAGGGCAGAATTGCAATTTGCAGAGCCACCCCGGTTACATACCAGCTGCAGCTCAGCATGAACATGGACATGACTTGACTCAAAGTCACATCATTCACATCCGTGTCAAAAGTGAAACGGTTCAATATTCTTCCCATGGGTACTGGGAGATCCAGGATGAAGCAACCTGTGAGCCTGGTTGCCTCGTTATGGGCGTGACCAATAATTTCAACTCACCAGTTTCAAAATAGGACATTGGAGCTTTCAGGACACTGGATAGCATTGTGTAGAAGACATTCTTAGCAGCACGGACACCTCCAATGGCCCCCCACTCGGCCCGAAAGAAAGCCGCAAGGACAAACAGTAAAATGAGTATCGCGTAGACTTTCAGGTATTGCGCTTGCGCCGACAATCCATCGATCTGAGCTGGGAACTCCATGTTGAATATAGTGACTGGCTCAACAGCACCTTCCGTCCACTTCGCTAGGAACCACTCCACTGCCACGTAGAGAAGTTTGTCCACTGCGAAGAGAAGAACCTGCGTCACAAAGAAGCACATCCCTCCAGCTCGACGAAACCACAACATCCAAGTACTCAAGCTGGAGATGCCATATTCTCTTTTCTCTGCTTGTATCAGTCTCCCTGATTTGGTCTTTTCATTCTCGTGCTCCGTGGCGGAATGCTGTTGATCTTTGTTCTGCCCTTTCGTCAACTCTGAGTCCAAATCTTCCCCACTTCCCCCCTCATCTTCTCCACCTCGGACCGATGATTTGATATGTTCAACCGCTCGATTCACATTATCATCTTTGGAATGAAACGATCCTAGTTCGTCCCAACATCCACAAAATTGATTGCCTCCATCCACAATCAACAGTATCTGATCAATGGCCGGATGGGTAATGAAATGAGCCGCATGTGTCACCAGCAATACAGCTGTATCTTTCAGAAGGGCCCCTGGACCAGAAATCAATCGTTCAAAGACTTGCTTGCCGGTTCCCGCATCTAATGCACTGAAGGGGTCGTCCAGTATGATCAAAGACGCATTGGCATATGCCGCCCGGGCCAAACTCACGCGTTGCTTTTGTCCTCCACTCAACGTCACACCCCTCTCTCCAATCTCTGTCATGTCTCCCGCATCGCCCAATCGTTCCAAGTCTGGTCGCAGGCAACAGGCATCCAAGACAGCATTGTATCGTTCGGGATCAAATGGCAATCCAAACAAGACGTTTTCTCGGACTGTCCGATTGATGATAAAGGGAGTTTGCGGCACGTACGAGAGTTTGCCGTGTTGGATGAGCTTTCCTCCATCGGCTAGTAGTAGTTCGGCTTCGCCCAAAATACCATCGACCAGTGTGGATTTTCCCGACCCCACAGGACCGCAGACCGCCAGAACTTGTCCCTTGGCAATGCGAAAGTCGAACTCTGAAACTGTAAACTCGTATGTTGTGGCTTGATCATCCTGGACTTTTTGTTGGATCCTCCCACCCACGCCAAACGACACCTTGGACAATGTCAATGGGATTATTGTTGGATCCTCCTCCTTCTTATAGTCACTATTACAATCCTCGGCATTAGTGTCGGGATCCTTTTTCTGTTCCTGGATTGGTCGATTCAAAAAGGCTTCAATGCGTTCCAATGCCGACATGGCTTGCGCTGCCTTGCCCATTAACCGTCCCGCAAAGTTGATGGGAAATCGCAGTGCGGAAAAGAGCAACAATACGGTAAATGTATCGGCTGCCGTCAAAATATGTTTTTGTTCGTCCAAGAGCACATAGGTGGCAAAGGTAATTCCTGTGGCCAATACGGGCGACGATATTTGAAAGAGAAGGGTGGTCGCCCAAATCATCATTTCACTTCGGAGCAATGTCAACTCTTGGTCTCGCACGTTATGAATCCGTGTATGGTAGTTGTGTTCGTAACTGTTAAGTTTGGTGACTTGCATGCCTTGTAGCATGGTGGAGATGAGTTCGACACGAGCATCTACCAGTTTGGTTCGTTGGTGTCGTACTTGGAACATGCGAGCCGTGACGTGTTGAATGAGTGGTACAAAGAGGACCAACACGGCAATGCCGACCAGTGTGGCAGGTCCCAGTGTCCAATAGAGAAAGATGGAGACCAATGCGATACTGAGTGGCAATGCCCATAGCAAATGTCCATCTTGTGTGACTTCAAATACTTTTTGCGTTTCGACCGCCACCAAGTTGGTGACTTGTCCGGCCGAAACTCCTTGTTTGCCTGCCGGCGATAATTGTAGAATGTGTTGATAGAGAACATTGACCAATGCCGCTCTCAAGGCGACTCCTGTTTTCATGGCGAGGTGTCGATGTCGATGATTGGCCAGTGCATTCAAGATGGACACGGCAAAGAGAGCCAGTGCGTACGGAAGACCTTGTCCAATGATTTGCGCACTCGGATGGGTCTCCAAAATGTGGAGCAATTGTCGCACTAGCAAGGGCAATCCGGTCTGACACGCCACCACGAGCAATTCGCACAGTCCAGCCGGACCAAATGTGGGAGCTGCAATCTTCCAGAGTGTCTTGTAAATGCTGGGATACCGCTGGCGCTTTGTGTCATTGTTGTTGGTGGTGGAATGATGCTCAAAGAGTTCAACCAACCGATCCGACTGCATTTCCCTTGGAACGGAAAAGAGATCCTCTTGAGACAAACCAGACGATTCTTGCAGTGCCGATGCCCCCTTGGACAAAACAAGGTTCATGTACGCATACGTCCAGTTGTTCCAAGCTTGACACAAACAAGACAATGACAAAGACGTTGCTTCTTCGGGCCATTGTAGGCTCTCATCGTGCTTCTTGCTGGTGACAATAGGTGTTGCTCGGTTTTCCAAACACATTTTTCTTCGAAGGTTCAGCTATAGCTAACGAACGATGGTTTCAGCATGAAGTTTCCCACTTTTGAAAGAAGGATAGTGAACCTGCCTGCATCGCGGGCCACTGAACCCACACATCGTCGTCATGGTCGTCATGTTCGATCGTCGATCGTTGCGGACGTTCAGCCACTTCACCGATCGGCAATGCTGACCGTGCCAAGGATTTCACTGGTACAGTTGTACCGAAAGTGGTCATAGTACACTTGTACATGAGGTCATTCTTAGAGTCACTTTCTAACAAAACAGGATGACGAGTAATATTTACAAACAATTTAACGACTCGAAGTCATTCAACGAACCAAACCAGCACTTCCAGGACGATCCGGCAATTAGCTAGTTATGAATCACGACTGAAAGGTTGATCGAAGCATTAAGCAACCGTCAGTTGCTTAAATCTAGGCGATTGCCTAAATTGTTGCCTATTTATAGGCAATTGCCTAAACTGTTGCCTAATGCTTCTAGAAACAACCCGTTAAATGCTAGTAACGGTTGCTTAAATCCTAGCTGTTGCCTACACCGTTGCCTATTTTTCAACGGTCGCCCAAACTGTCGCCTAAATCATATTTAAAGCACGTTTGACGACAGTTCTATTCAGTCGTGAAACTGACGTCACAAATCCCAATTGCCGGATCGTCCTGAGACTTCCTGTGGATTCGTAATGTCTGAGGCTTTACGAAGCAGAATACCAGTTTGGGAACCATTGAGCTCAAGCTATTAATAAGCGCTCAAGCTCAAGCTTAAGCGCTTCTCAAGTTCTCAAGTGCGCAATAATTAAGTGTCGAAGCTTTCAACGGGCAACGTTAGGTCGTGAGAACTCAACAACGTTAACCCCAACAAGTGAACGTGTCGCCATAGTAGACTAGCTACCTGGTACATGTAGCTAGACCACACTCAACGTGACTCAACCTGGTCACCAGGCTCCACCAGGGTTCGTTAAAAGGTATCAATTTTTAATTAATGTTACTGTAGATTTTTTTGTGGCCTGGTCTGTGTGTCTGTGTACAGTAGCTTCTGAGAGCTTTCTGATTTCTGAGCATCTTCTGTATGGTATGCATGTTTCTTGAATTGCCCTTCGCCGCCATGTCGCCGTACCTACCGGTATGATAAAGCTTGACTAATGACCACCGGTTTTATTGAAGGCTGGTCATTCTCAATAATCTATGCCAATTACGGTAGAACTGGTACCCGCTCGGCAGTTGCTGGGCCCACTTCTGATGTTTGGATGTTTGGATCTTGTTTGCCACGTCGCCACTAGTAATGCAACTGGTTGGGAGCTCTTCGTACAGCGTAAAGCGTGCCCGTACCGGTGTGCTCGTTGCTCGTTCACCGTTCAGCTTGGCACTCAGCGACTTCGACACATTGTTTCCTCACAATTTTCGAAAACCAAGAGCTAAAAAGCTAATACGATCACCATTCATCAAACAGAAGAAGAAAAATATTCAACCATGACGGACTCTACTATCCAATGGCCCAAGAAGACCAAGGAGATGGAAAGCCACCACTTTGACTCTACTGTGTGGAACGACTTCAAGTTCAGGGATGATGACATTGTCATTGCAACTTATGGCAAAAGCGGCACCACTTGGACTCAGCAGATCATCTCCCAACTCATCTTTCAAGGAGACACAACCCTGGATGTGGCCGGAATTTCCCCATGGGTGGATCTGCGAGTTCCTCCCAAGCCCATCCAGCTTGCTATTCTGGAAGAACAAAAGCACCGCCGTTTTGTCAAGACCCATCTCCCCGTGGATGCCCTCGTCTTTTCTCCCCAGGCCAAATACCTCTACGTGGTTAGGGATGGCCGTGATGTGGCCTGGTCTCTGTTCCATCACCACATGAACGCCAATGCGGAATGGTATGCCGCCTTGAACGACACTCCAGGACTGGTGGGTCCCAAGATTGGCAAGCCCGTCTCGGAAGATCCTGTGGAGTACTACAAAAGTTGGTTTGACAATGATGGAGCTCCCTTTTGGTCATTCTGGGAGCACATGAAGTCTTGGTGGGCCATCCGTGACCTGCCCAACGTCAAGTTTGTGCACTTTAACGACTTGAAGAAGGATCTGAGTGGACAGATGCGAGAGATTTCGGAATTCTTGGAGATCCCCATCAATGAGGACAAGTTTGACGAGATGGTCGAACACTGCACTTTTGACTATATGAAGAAGCACGCGTCGCAAATGTCTCCTTTGGGGGGAGCCCTCTGGAATGGAGGCGGGGCTACTTTTATCAACAAGGGGACCAATGGGCGCTGGGCGGATCTTCTCTCGGACGAGGACTGCCAAGCATACGAAAAGAAGGCAGTGGAGGAACTGGGCGAGGAGTGTGCGGAGTATTTGAAGAATGGAAGTTTGGCAACTGTTGTGCCCCAGCCAATGACCGACAACTCTCTGCAGCAATGAACAGTCCGTACCTTGCTGCCCTTTGGATCCGAGAAAGCCCAATTGTTTTATTTTTTGTCTGCCCATGCTGCGTTTCTTCAGCAGTATACCGTATGGAAGTGGGTTTGGAGTATGGAAGATAGATGTAACTAACCAATGCTTAGCAACAGAATATTTGAAGCCTTTGTTCATGTTACGCCACATCATAGCTCAAGATACAACCCATAGTTTCCCACTTCGAAAATGTCCACATGTTACAAACCCTGTCGGAGTCCTTCGTGTACCGATAGCTGGACAGCATTACAATATCATTGCCATGATCATACGGTACCCCCTCAGGCGTCACACAGTGCATCGTTTTCGCACTCTCAGGCGCCCTTGCGTCGTGTCGCTGAATGCAGACGGCAAACAAGGCGCAGTGGTTCTGCGACCGACAGTTTGAAACCAACCACAGGGAAAGATTCCTCTCCTTCCTCGCCCTAGCTTGTGCAAAGTCTCATCCAATTTCCATAGTCTACTTCCATAGCAGCTCGCTGTGCTGTGCCGCTCATTTAATTAAAATCATGCCTAGCTAGCCAGTACCATTCCTCATTTTCGAATACTCCTCTCATTGTGGCATCACCTGTTGGGGCTTTTCTTTGTTTCTTCAGCATATATCGTCGTCAAGAACTCCACTAGTCGGTGATGGATATCAAGCTCCTTGGCACTGACGCCCACAAATTCTGCGATACATTTCAACACTCAACTTGGCCACTAATCTTTGCAACTGGTGACTTTTTGCGGGTTTCCAAGAGTTGGGTCCACAGAAGCTTGGCTTTTCCGCTGTCAACACCAAATCTAGACAGTTTTGCAGCATTCTTGGAACCAAGCTTGGTCTCCAATTTGGTGGCCAGTGCTTCCAAAGAGAACTCTGGGCAAACACAAGTCCCCATGAGGAACACTTGAAAGGTATCCCGATTTTTCAGGACATTCTGTGAACAAGACAATAGACGTTTCTGTTTTTGCTTTCCTCCTCGAATCAATTCACTCCAGGCACTGGGGTCTATCTCTCCAGAATGATCATTGTGAATAGCTCCATTCGCCAAGAACCATTCGCCAATTTCCCAGCATTTTTCATTTGACAAACTCCAGCAGAGACTCAATGGACTGATGGAAACTGAAGTTTTGGCTGTGGCATCTTCCTTAGCCCCGTTTTTGTACAACCATTGGCAAACAGCCAAATGGCCTTGGTTAGTTGCGGCCCACAAGGGGTACCAAATTTCGTCGCCAACTTTGGTTGTTGCTCCCCCTTGGCTGAGAATGTACCGGCACATCCTCTCTCTATTCCC